ATCCCTTTTAAAAAATATTTTTTTTTATATATTTTCAATTTTAGTTTTTCATCTTTCGGTTTACAAATTACAAAGTTATGAGTTTGGAGGTTTTTGTGTTTGAAAATTTACGGATTTAGAAATTATAAAGTTTACGGGTTCGAAATTTTGCGGTTTCGAAAATTTAGCGTTTCGGAAGTTTATAAAATTTGTGGGTTTGAAAGGTTGTTGGTTCGAAAGTTTAAGACTTCATGTTTATTGTATCTAAATTATTTATGAATACTTTTGAGAAGTTATTTTTCTTAATTTGCGTACCAAACACCGCAAAATAAATAATATTACTACTTGTTTTCCAAGAAAATATTTTCTTGGAAAACATTTTCTACGGAAAACATTTTCCGTTATACCAAACACACCCTTAATCACTATCAATTCTCTGCTATATGGCTGCCAGTTGATAGTCGGTGGAGAAGCCTCCGGAAAATCATGAATACTTATATCTTCTCCGGCAACAGGCTTGACGCAAATCAGCATCTCAGGTATAGATGGCAAATTGTCAAGCTGAGTCAAACTTGAGCAGATTAAATCAGTACAGGAGTTTGCCTCAGTCAAAATGAGCTGGATTAGGATGAGTGAAATAGTTGGTCATAACCCGATCCCCTGGATCCAATTTTAATTTGTTTTGTTTAAAAAAAAAATGCGCAAACTTATGCTTTTTTCTTAACTTATCATGTTAAGTTCTTCCAGGTTTATATTTTCCAATTTCCTAATTTAATCTTGTAATTTAATCTTGTAACTCTTGTAGAAATGCAGGTAAGACTGAATACAATAGACCCTTGTTGTCCGGCCCTTCCTTGGACTCGTGCATAGCGAGAGCTTAGTGCATCCGGCTGCGTTTACCTAATTTAATTGATTTAGTTTTATATTACTAAAAACAATTGTTGATTTTGCAACTTCTAATCTCAGGTCCCAAAAGATCCAAGATTTAATAGCTTATTGCCGTCGGTGTAGCCAAACAGGGGACGCAGTGAATATGGGCCAAGCTGCTTTTGAGACCTCTATGAATTTACTTTCGAGTACTATTTTTTCCAAGGATGTAGTGGACCCTTATGCAAATTCAGGTAAAGAATTCAAGGATGCGGTGTGAAAAATCACGGAAGAAGCTGGTAAGCTCAATTTGGCTGATTATTTCCCTGTGTTGAAAAGGATAGATCCTCAAGGTATAAGGCGAAGCGTAGGCAAGAATTTCTATAAATTGCTTCAGCAGATTGAGGTATTGATTGATGAACGGTTGGAGCAAAGGAGGACATCGCCAACTAGCGATAGCACTGATGTTCTTGACGTTTTGCTAAATACCAGCCAAGAAGATCCGGAGGCAATCGACAGAAATCACATAGAGCGGTTATGCCTGGTACTTTATCAGCTTCTTATCTTCATTAAGTTCCTTATTTGCCGTATTCTGCTCTACTTGGCTTCATTAGGTTCTTGTTCGTTTTAATTTTCCTTCTTATACAAGTCCAGTTCAATAGGATTTACTTCTAAAGTAGAAGTTCTTTTGTCCTGTCAAAGTCAATGTATAAGCTTGACTTCCCGAGCACGAAATGGAGATATGAGCAATCCATTACGTGAACACAATTGGTCAGACCAACAATAAAGAAAGAAAAGTCGATTCCCAAGAGACCTCAATAGAGTTGAGCTTTAGGGGGATTCTTTTTGTGGTATTGCACATAGAGAAGTATTCTATGCAGGCTTGATTTACTGGAATATTTGCTTCAAGTCTCCTTCAAATTTTAAATTATAGCACGAATAACTTTATTTGACAATTAGCTGGAAGTGGGGTAATTTATTAGCATATGCTACTGGACATAATTTACCCTTCCTTAGTTCCTCTTTGGCCAAATTGCAGAGATTTGTCCATCATATTAAGTGTAATGAATAATAGGGAAGAAGCTATTGTCGTATGCCACATTGTTCTATTTATGTTGAAAAGAATACACATATTTATTGCCTCAGAATTATGAAAGGGTCCATTATATACTTGCTATCTTATAAAAAGCTAATTTGTAAAAAAACGAATCAATAGAACATTCAACTTAGACGAGTACATCACCATGATTTATCACATTGTAAGTATAAACCTTCTGTCTACATTGCTGGACCTTTTCATCCCTTAGAGTTAGTTATATTTTCTTAGAGTTAGTTATGGGCCATGGTAGAGATCATGAGAAAACCAGACATAATGGAAAAAGCTAAAGCCGAGCTTGCAGAAGTTATTGGCAAAGGCAAGATAGTAGAAGAAGCTGATGTTGCTCGTCTCCCTTACTTACAGTGCATAGTTAAAGAAACCTTGCGGATGTACCCAACAGTTCCCTTTATGATTCGCAAGGTAGATCAAGACGCTCAGGCATGTGGGTACTTTGTCCCTAGAGCCTCTCAAGTTTTAGTGAATCTATGGTCAATAGGCCGTGACCCGACTATATGGGAAGAGCCTTTGGTATTTAAGCCTGAGAGGTTTTGGGGTTCAAAAATGGACGTTCGTGGCCAGGATTTTGAATTCATTCCATTTGGTGCTGGTAGGAGAATTTGCCCGGGGTTACCTTCGGCAAATAGAACATTTCCTGTAATGTTGGCTTCATTATTGAATTCATTTGATTGAAAAGCTGAAGGCGATATTGCACCAGAGGATTTGGATGTGGAAGAAAGGTTTGGCATTACTCTAGCGAGAGCACGTCCTTTACGAGCTGTTCCTGTTCTGCTATAACTGTCCGCTCCAGATTAGCCATGTAAGGCATTGGGGATTCTTGATATCAGTCATGAATATTGAAGTTCCACATGTTACTATTATCTATATATTACCATATTAGTTTATGATTTGTTATGTGTAGCCCTCCTAAGTAAGGATGTTTTTGTTTTTTGTACTAGTATATAATGACAGGAGCTTATATTATCATGGTATCAGAAGTCTAAATATCCTAACTTATCTCTCAAGATCAAATTTAGATTATAAAAGGGCTTGCTCTCTCTGCATTTCTTGGGAGATCGGGGTATAACACTGTTTACCCTAAAAAATGGATAATAATTGAATTTATACGCGGTTTTAAGGATATATAAACTAATTCAATACAAGTGATTAATAACGTTAGATGAACAGGTTAAAGATAGAATAAATGGCCAAACCAGTAGTAGTATCGGGTCCGGGCTCGGTTGTGAGCCTAACAATTAGCATGCCTTCGGTTCGGAACAAAACACTTATGAAGAACTATGAACAAAATTAAGAACTTTGAATAACCTTTAGAAGCAGAGAAAACAAATGTATATTGCCTTGATATGTGTGTTACAGTGTGTCTATTGAATAATCAGCTTCCCCTTTATATAGTAGGGGAGTATTACCCTAAGTACAATTCTAAGAAAGGTGAAAATCTTCCTTTTCGCTAATTACTGATTTGCTGCCGATACGGGCTGAGATTCACGCCGTGATATCCAGTTTGACACGGATATCACAGCCCTTTGTTAATCGTGCGCGGTCGTTTGGTAATGCTTTCCGAGGTCTTGAAACTCAACCCGAATCTGGGGGGCGTGGTCTCGATGGCTCCGAAGGAAAGTGTTTTGTTCGAGCCTTGATACGAGAGGCTCGTGGCTTTGATTCTGATTTCTTGTGGTTACGTCCTTGCTTCGTTTGCCTCACCAAGAAATCGGGGTGCTCATTAGCCTCGGTTTTACCCGTATACAGATAGTCCCCTCATTTCTCAGAGAGTAGGTTTTCCGAAACTATGAGAAACGATAGATGTTCTCTGGTTCTTTCCTCCAAAAGTTACGACGAAGAAGTTGAAACGTCCCATCAGTCGCGTCGTTCTGACTTCGGACACGTGTTAATCATCGGCTGGTTGCCTCCGAATTCAAAGCGTCGCCTACTTCCCCTATAAAAGCTTCGACCCCCTGTTCTTTCTCCACTTTCCGATCAAGCTTTTACCTTCGAATTCTCTAGCTATCTCCAACTTTTTTCAAACCTTCATATCTTCATCTTTGATCTTCAAATCCTCATAGTTGTTCTTAGGTTTTTACCTAGATTTTTTTCGAATCTTCTTACTCTGTTCTTCAGCCTTCAAACTTGTTTCTCCAAACCTCTATACTTTTTCTTTAAATCTTCAAACTTTCTCAGATAGTAATGGCAAAAACTTCCAAGTCAGTCCCTAAGAAGGCTGCCTCTTCATCTTCCCAATCGGCCGCCTGTACTGAGGCGGTCTCTCCCGTAATAGTTTTTCTCGAGACGGCTGCTCCCGAAGTGGATGCCACCAAGTCGACTGCCACCGAACCAACTCCCGAGCACCCCTTGAAAATATTTATTCCCGGGGGCTGTTCAATTGCGAACGACTTCAAGGTCGAGAAACCCTCATCCAAATAGGACCGGGGTAAATGAGCATCGAGATATATATGCGCCGTTGCCGAAGATGTCCTTCCAGCGGTCCGAGAGGACTATAAATGGGAAGACAAGGACGTAGTAGTCCCCGGGCCCGAGGATGCTATTACTACCCACATGGAGAGGTATTTAAGTATTTACACTTACCCCTTCACACTGGGTCCGATAGACCTAGTTGTTTTAGATTTTTGCAAGAGATACGAGGTGTGCCTTGGGCAAATCCATCCGTCTCTATGGAGGATTATGATCCTCCTCCATTACTTTGTGAATAACATCGAGTCTCGTCGGTTCACCATCGACCACCTGCTCTGCCTATATAGTCCCCAAATTTTCCGAAGGGGAATACTCATGCTTACTCTCCGGGCCAGGAAGGCCCCATTTTCGAGCATTGACGAAGACCGAGATTGAGGTTGGCAGGAGCGCTTGATGATGCCAATGTGTATAGGATTTTCATGCTCGTACTTTGTCAAATTCTAGTATATTTTATGATATCGTCCCACAGAGATTGGAAAATCTATTCTACAGATTTATATTATTTTAACTACTATTCGAGAGAATCAGATTGTTGAAAAGTTTGTGGAATTAAAACTTGTTAAATACTTAACAAAATTAAACAACTTTCGAAAGATTTGTAATTTAAAAGAGTTGGCAATCGTTAAATTTACTTGATAACGTATTATAATAAAATCTCACTTTCTACATGTATTTTTCTAAAGGATAATTGCTTATTGCTAATACAATTATGTCTTATCTCACCAAGAAGTAATCAACTAATAACACTCCGTGAGGTTATGTAATTAATTGAATTAAAATTAGTGACGGTTAAATCGAAATATTTTCTGGTCTGAATTGTGCTAAAAGAGTAAAAACTTCGTGAGAATATTTTTACTAAAATCGATACTCCTGCGACTACAATTCCTCCGTGAGAATTAAAGTTGAGGCAAGCAAGATTACTGACTTTTAATAATAGCTTATTAAAAATTACTCACTCCACTATTTTATTCAGTAGTTACTATATACTAATTTTGCCCCGTGAGAATTACAAAATTAATATAAGAATAACTTAGAGATAAGATATATAGAAGTGCATCTAAGGGTGTGGCCTAGTGGTCAATGAAGTGGGTAAGAACCATGAGGTCTCAGGTTTAAATCCCAGCAGAGGCAAATACTAGGTGATTTCTTCCCATCTATCCAAGCCTTGGTGGATAGAGTTACCTGGTACCTGTTGTTGGTGGGAGGTGGCAGGTATCCCGTGGAATTAGTCGAGGTACGCGCAAGCTGGTCCGGACACCACGGTTATCAAAAAAAAAAGATATATAGAAGTGATAACAATAATTAGTTAAAACCCATTATTATAGCACAATATAAAATATAAATAGAAAGTTTTAGACCAAGAATGTATTAAAGCTGAAATAGTACAAAAAATGTTACTCCATTATAAAGTAAGAAAAAGAAACTAGTTTAGAAATACTAAGAATTGATACAGAGATATTATTTTTCACAAAAGGACAACTACTAAGAATTAGGAATATTAAAGATAAAAGAGAGACCATGTAAAACCCTGAAAAATTTTGAAGTACTTAAGCGCTATTAAAAAAGTTGATGTGCGCTAATTATATTATTTTGTGTGCAAACGAGAACACACAAAAAGGGGTGCTGGAAAATCGTAGAAAAGGAAAAGGAAACGGAGAGAGCACCTAAGAGATCTAGGGAAAACTAAAAAGAGAGGAGTAAAATCGTGAGAGAACACAATACAAACTTCCCTTCCGTGATTGAACACACAAAAAGAAGGCAGCCACTATAACTCCATTTTCTTTCACCCAAAGGCCACCATAAACCCACCTAAATTGTAATAACCCGACCGGTCGTTTTGAGTATTACAGCTCTGTTTCCCCATTTACTGCTCAATTATGCCTTACAGTTGATTTATGACTAATCGAGTTAGTTATTGGGTCCGGAAGAATTTCGGAATGAAATGAGACACTTAGTCTCATAATTATAAACTTAAGTTGAAAAAGTAGACCGGATATTCACTTATGTGTAAACGATATCGGATTCGAATTCTGATAATTCCAATAGCTCCGTAGGGTGATTTTGGACTTAGGAGCGTATCTGAAAAATTATTTGGAGGTCGGTAGAGGAATTAGGCTTGAAATGGCGAAAGCCGATTTTTTGGGAAGTTTGACCGGGGGTTGACTTTTTTAATATCGGGGTCAAAATTCAATTCTCAAAATTTTATGACTTGTGTGCAAAATCTGAGGTCAATCGGACTTGATTTGATAAATTCCGTCGTCGTTTGTGGAAACTTGAAATTTTAAAGTTTATTAGGCTTGAATCTATGTGTGATTTGTATTTTTAGTGTTGTCAGATGTGATTTGAAGACTCGACTAAGTTCGTATGATGTTTTACGACTTGTTGGTATATTTGGTTGAGGTCCCGGGGGCCTTAGATGAGTTCCAGGATGGTTTCAGATCATTTTTCCTTGTTTTGCAACTGCTGGAACTGATATCTGGTATTGTTCTTCGCGAACGCGAAGGGTCTCACACGTTCGCGAAGAAGCAATTTGGACTGCTGGGATTTACCCATCACGAAAGCGAGCAAGGAGACGCGAACACGAAGAAGAGAATGGGGAAGCCTACGCGAACGCGAGTGGGTTAATGCGAACGCGAAGAGGAAAGGGAGTTGGGGCCTGCCTGGCGCTAAGCCTTCGCGAACGCAGATCGTGTCTCGCTAACGCGAAGGGCAGAGGTAGGAAGGCATCGCGAATGCGATGAAGAGCTCGCGAATGCGAAGAAGGAACCTTGGCAGCACATTTTTTGTGCTTCGCGAACGCGAAGCCATGGTCGCGAACGCGATGAAGGCATTTCTGGGTAGAATTAAAAGTTTTAAAACGGGAGTTTTGAGTTCATAACACAAAATCAAATTGGGAGCTCGGTAGAAGGTGATTTTTGGAGAGATTCTTGTGTGGGTGTTTGGGTAAGTTATTCTTATCCAGTTTTGATTAATTTCCATGATTATACTTTTGAATCCATCATTTAATGGGTGAATTAAGTTAAAAAATTTAGAAAACCCTCTTGGTTTAAATTGAAGATTTGAGGGTCGAGTTGAGATCGGATTTTGGTAAAATTGGTATGGTTAAACTCGTGGTTGATCACTTGATTGGGCTTTAGGATTTTGTAACTTTTATCGGGTTCCGAGATTTTTGAGCTAAATTTCGGATTTTTATAGAAAATTAGCATTTTCTTATGGAATTAATTTCAATAAATTTTATTGAGTGAATCGAATTATTTGTGGCTAGATTCGAGGCGTTTGGAGGCCAATTCGCGAGGCAAAGGCTTAGCGGAATAAGAATTTCACGATTTAGATAAGTAACAGTTATAAATCTGGTCCTGAGGGTATGAAACCCCAGATTTTTGTGTCATGTGATTATTTTGGAGGTGACCCACATGCTAGGTGACAGGCG